CACACACACACACACACACACACACACACACACACACACACACACACACACACACACACACACACACACACACACACACACACACACACACACACACACACACACACACACACACACACACACACACAAAGAAAGAAAGAAAGAAAGAAGAAAGAGTGTTTCGCATCTCGAACGTGCAGGGAAAGTCGTTCCACATTTCGTCTCGTGGTTTTCTCGCGCGATTCCTCCCCCCCCCTTTTCTCCTCCCTCCACGATGCAATCTCTCGCATCGGTTCGGGATTTCGATTTCGATTGCGTCTCGTTCGAGAGGCTACCCCCATATTTCTCGAAACTCTGGCCACGGTGGCGTGCACAGGTGGAATATATATAGGTATCGGATGGAACGAGGAGGGATGAGAGAGAGGTCGATAAGGGGGATAAGCAAGGATCGGAGAAGAGAATGCGCGAGGTGAAAGGAATTTTATTTTGCCGAGGCGCCGCCTCGTATTTTTGCCGCGCGAATGAAGCGGGGGTGTTGTTCGGTTGAATAACGTAAATAAATATATATTTGCATATATTCGGGCGAAAAAGCGATCTGGGTGGAAAAAAGGGATCTGGAAAAAAAAAGTTTCTATCCCGGGATAGATGGGTTCGCGTGGGATGAGCGATGGGGATGATACGTAGAATATTACAAAGATACGTAAGAAAAACGATCCTTTCGTTAATAAATCGTGTTTCGTCTCGCGAGGAATTCGAAAATTTGTTTGTTCTACCGTATTACGCAATTATTTTCTCTCTGGAGAAATTATCTAACCGCGAATAATAATTTGACTATTAATCGTCAAATTAATTATCGAATTAATTATACCGAAAATGAAAGTTTTCGCGGAATGAAAATCGTTTCGGCGGAAAGGTAGGGAAAGGAAACTATGTTGTTTTGAACTATGTTGATCCGTGTGAGAACTCTCGCCTCCTCAACTAGCACTGTAACTTTATCCTCCTGCGTCTCGTTTGCAAATGAACGCGTGCGATTAACAAACAGACCTTCAGACTAATTCGACACGGCCTTAATTCGCTCGTATTTGCTCTCTTCTCGTTAGTTGGTCAGGCACGTGATCAAAGGGGGTGGAATAGCTATCACGGGGCAGGAGCAACGACAATTAGGCGGCGGCTTTTTGGAAGGTGACGGCGCTCCTCCAGGTAAGAAAAAAAAAAAAAAGAACTTTAATGTCTTTCAATGTCTTTTTTGAATTGCGAATTCTCTCATGGAAAGTTTTTTAATTATTTAAAAAATTAATCGAACATATTTATTATCTCTACGATAATGGCAATGAAAAATCTCTAAAAATCATTCATTGTAATCTATAGATTGAGAACCGCTGCTATGAGCACATCCTATTCTACATTCTTCTATTATTATTAAAAATTTTATTATTTCTTGGAATCAGATGGATAAAAGAGGTGATAATATAATTGATAATTATATGATGAATGATCATTAATTAGAAAAATTAGAACAAGGATCTTTTACAAATTATCTTCATAATCTACAGATTGAGAACCACTGCCACGAACACATCCTATTCTTCTATTTTTATTAAAAATTTTATTATTTCTTGGAATCAGATGGATACTTAAAAAAGGTGATAATGCAATTACATCAAAATAAATAAACGCCAAAGATCATTGATTAAAAATTAGAACAACGATCCTTTAAAAATTATTTTTATAATCTACAGATTGAGAACCACTGCCACAACTCTATCATTTCATCGTTAATTAAAAATTATTGTTCCCCAGGATCGGGTGGATATTTAGGAGAGGTGACCATGGTGCAACTTTACGAGGTCGCCCTGTCAGCGGGGAAAGCCCACAAGGATCACAAACACCATCATGCCCATCACTACGAGCACGACACCGAAAATAACACGCCTAGACCTACGCGGCCTCCGGTCACCGGCCCCCCCCTCCCGCAGCATCCCTATCTCACGGGTGGACAGATCAATCATCAGGTTCGAACGCGCGATGCACTCTTCTCCCCGTAACTCGTGAAACCGCGATACGCTAACCTTGTCGAGTTTCAGATAAAACTCAATCCCGGGACGCCGCTACAAATCATTCAAGACGGAGTCACCCTGAGGCATCCGGCCCTGATTCCTCGCCACCCACCACCTCAACCGTTACCACCCGCGAATCCCAATTCCGTCTCGACAGCATTCCCTTTGCAATCTACCCATTTCTTCGGGAACCTGCAGTCTACCGTCGATTTGCCTTCGGCTAGCGGAATAACCAGCACGGGAGCGAACAGTCCGTATCGAAATCTCTTTAAGAGAGAGGAAAACTCGTTGGGAGTTGAATCCGAGGAGGAAAAATCGTATTCGAGTTTCGAAGAGACAGTGATCCAGGTCGGGAAATCGACGATCGAGAAGAGGGGGATCGAGAAGAATGGGGTATCCGAGGAAAAATTTTCGGATGGAAAAGTAAGGAATATGGTGTACTGAAATCCGTGAAATTGGATTAGATTTTCGATAAGTAGTGTTATAATTCTTTGATCTTGGAATCGTTACTATGTTGACATGTTATCGATATATCGATAATATGTTTAAGATATAACAAATGTTAAGTAACTAGAGTTCCTATTTTTTCTTTATTTTCAAATTTATTGTTAAAAAATTTATTGTCGACGATTATCTATGGGATAGGCGATATTTAATTGATTAAAAAATATTTCGTTAAAATCCTTGCCAAGCAATTTTCCGTTGAATTAAATTAAAATAAATTTAAACGATCAATATATTTTAGGTAACGTTCGTGCCCAAAGAGGAAGTCGAAGAAGATTTAAAATCAGTGGATAAACGCGATTCCCCCAAAAAGAAGCGGGGTCTATTGCAATTGGATGACGGTCTGCTCTTAAACGACGGCTACATATCCCAAGGATTAGACGACGAATACTTTTCGGGACTAACGAGCTTCGGTCTTCACTTACCGAAATACGAGGACAAGGACGATGAAAGGGAGCCGGCGGAAGCGGAAGTAAGAATGATCATGAATATCTGCGACGGTTGTGCCGATGAACCGTTCGCGAAAGCCTTGATTATGGGATGGAGATCGGTTCCTAAGAAGTTATATTCCGGCGCGGTACACATTCCGGCCGTGCAAACGTGCAAGGCGTTCTAACAAAGGCGATCGACCGAGCGAAAGAGGAGACGACTTCGTAAGTTATCGTACGCTAGCTTCGGGTCCACTCGGATCCATTCGCGCGGCATCGACCAATCCCCGCGAAGATTTATAGTTATCGCAGTCTCACTCGGTAGTCGACCGCTATCGCTGACGCAGGATCTTTCGTACGTGCTGTGAACCCGAGGCCAACGGATCTCCAAACGCGTTAGCTCGATTACGCGATTACACGTGCGCCGTATAGAACGGATGGATATCGATTACGGGGAAAACGATTCCGATCGCGTTCGGAGACGTATTTATTATTTACAGTAGCTTCGCCCCAGGGCGAGTCACCGAAAGTATAGATTAAGTTTATACGTATATATATATATATATATATATATATACAGCCGACGGCGTATTAAACGAAAATATTATGTAAGAACGTAAATACGACGGTTACGAAAACAAATATTTCGTACACCGTAGAGTATATTTATTAATTAGAATTTTCGCTCTCTCGCGTTTTTCGATAATATGTAGACGCGTAATAAATTCGAATGTGCGATTAACACGCGAGAAATATTTAAGCATAGTCGTATTTCTCATTTATGCTTTAATCGGTCTCAAAGTTAATCTAAAAACGATATAGATATAGATAAAAAAATGCAAGCCGAGAGAACATAAATCGGGATACGACTGTAATTAATAATTTTTGTATTCGTTTAGTAGTACTTACAGTAACGGATAAAAGTATAATTAATTTATTAAAACGGAATAATTTTTTAAAATTGGATCAAACGAATTTTAAATTTTTTTAAAAAGTGAAATGATAATTTATTATATGGCGTATTAAAAAATTTTTGAAAAAGTTACAACTGGTCAGGATTGTAGAAAAAATAGTAAAGATCGTTTTTTACAAGTTTTTTATCTGAGCCTGTAATGCAAATTTTATACATACATTTTGTAGATTTATATAATATATGTAATAACGTTAAAAATTTCATTAAAATCTGTTTGATGCAGAACAGACAAGTGACAGATATCGAAAAAAGTAAAAAGTTTTAAATTTATTACAAAAAAATTGCAATTTTCATAATTTTTAATTGTTTATAAGTCATAACAACGTCAACCGATTTCAATAAAATTTTCTATATGTATACAATTGATAAAAATCTACAAAATCTCTTAATTTTCATGTAACACGTTCAGATAAAAAAATTAATAAAAATCAATAATCTTTACCTATTTTCCTCGTGATTTCGATCAATCATAACTTCTTCCAAGTTTTCGAACAAAATACAACTCGTTTATTCCAATTTTAAAAAAGTTATTTCGTTTTAAAAACTCTTAATTATACTTTTGTCCACAATGTTGTACAAAATATGAATACAAAGATATTCGATTCTATGAAAATAAAAAAAAAATAAGAATACGTATTAAATATTTATTTTGCGACCACCGTGTGCGTAATTTCGAAAAATTTTTGAGAATCGATCAAATCCTTCCAAAAAAAGGTGAAACAATAAATTTTGCAAACGTTTGAAGGCTGGTTACCTTGCTCTTGTGAATATGCTGATGTTGGTATTCGCTGTCGAATTCCGGCTCGCTGAAGTAGCTCTGGTCCTCCCAGTGAGGGGGTAGTCCCGTCCCTGTCCCTGGTATCCCCAATGGTCCTGGCATCCCTGTCACACCGTCAGTGCTCTCGAACAGTCGCAAGACGCTTCGGTCTCGGATGTCTCTCAGATGCGATCTGCGAATCGAAATGGAGAATTTTTCAGTATAATTTGCGAATAGATTGGTATGTAAAAGGGGAGGATCGTGCATATAATACGCGCAAGGTATTCCATTTGAGAAGCGCGAGCGTTGGATGTGACCAACGTGACGATATTGAAAAATATTTCAAATGAAAATTGAAATTTTTAAAAGCTGTGTCATAAGAGATTTATTAATTGGAAAACTGGAGGAGAATAGAGATTATAAATTCTCTGAAATATTTTTCCATGTATTATCAACAATTTCTAAAATGTGTTCAAGTAAAAATCATCGACATATGACGTATTCCAAAGTAAGACTTTTAATTATGATTTTTATTGAGACGGATCATAAAAATCATATTACAAGTTTGAATGTATTCTATCGTATCGCTATTTTCGTCTAAAAAAAAAAAAATATTAAACATTTCAAAAGGATTAAACGAAACATATAATTTGGCACAGCGTACCTGAGATCTTCGAGTTCGTAGAACATGTCCTTGTTGCTATCGTGTATGTAAACCTTGACGTGGGGGCTGTCTAGATATTCCATAGTGAGTTGCTTGGGAAAACTTCGTACGAAGAGAGCCTTAACGGTGTCTATGCTAGTGATTTCGTTCGGTAGGAGCGCCCGCTTCGTCTCGTTCCTATACTGCAGGAACACTAGACCTAAGGAATCGTCCACAGAAACGCATCGTTTCGTGAGGAATGTCCGACAAGGGCATCGAGCAGCGAGGCAGCAACAAGACGCTCCTAATTCTATTGCGGGTCGTGAGTTACCTAGTGGTCGCTCCAGAGTTTTGCTGGGGGTCCGTACGACGGGGAGGCTGCTTCTTTGCTTGCCACCCCGTCGAAATCCGGTGCTCGATGTCTCCACCTCGGACATGATGCCCGGGTCGTCATCGAACAACATCGTCGTAGAGGGAGGTGGGTACCCGCGCGGAAGAGGCGACTGAACAATCAAAAGTGTTTGTTAGTCCAACCGCGGAAGTTTCGCCCATTCTCTCTTCGTTTTTATTGTCTCTGTTTAAACGATCGTTCGAATTCGACGCGAACAAAAGAAGAGAGAGAGAGAGAAAGAAAGAAAAAAAAGAGGAAGAAAAAAAAGAGAGAGAACAATCGTACGTTGGACGATATATAATAAGAGAAAAAACGATGAGAAACGATGAAAAAACGGATGCATGCCATCGTGCGAATCGAAACGATATCCAAGCGCTTAGAGAGAAAAAGGGAGAGAGAAACGTGTAGAAAAAAGGTGAAAAGAAAAAGAAGAGAAGAAAAAAAAAAAAGAAATTACCTTTCTCTGGCGAGACTTGGTCCCCATCTGTTAGGCGGCGGCAGGTACACGGAAACACACACACACAAGTAAACCAGTTAGACGTATATATGCATGGAGCAGAAAAAAGGGTTTGCTGGAAATGCAGCACTGTGAAAAGGTAAGAGCGAAACAATGCGATCGCGATCGATCGACCCGAGGCATGGTCGAAGGAGAACTCTCTTTCTCTGTTGGCCGTTGCGTTGGTGGATTCGAAGGCTGGCCTGGACTCTGCAAAAATCTTTCGCGATCGCCAACTCTTCCTCGCCTCTCCTCTCCTTCTCGACTCTCCCGAAAAAAAAACTCTTAAAAGAATTATTCTCTTTTCTCTCGTCGAAAGTTGGCGATCGCGTTATTGCGTCGTTTTCCGTTTCTACAAAAACGACGCAGCTAGTTTGGTAACGCGTTTCGTGGTCGAGTCGACGGGCGAGAAGGCAAAAAAAGGACGAATATAATAACATAGTCGAAAAAAGTGGAGGGGGGAGGGGGGGGGGAGAAAAACGAGCAGGAAGGCGTGACCGTGCACGATAACTTGAGACGGTTAAGTGCCACGTGTACGCCACCAAGCTACTTAGATAAAATGTACACGATTAAGGATGTATACGAGTCGCAGGGGCTGACGACTGGTTTATTTCTCGGAATCCATTTCCTCCGCGGTTGAAACCCACTGGATAAACGGAGGAGCGCGACGGAAAGCTGCGCCCGAAAATAGACGAAGCGCGCATGTGTTCCAAACGTTCGAACGTTTGAACCAAGCGACGAGGAGCCGAGGCAACGGAAGATGAGAAGAAACGAGGACGGCGTAGGTGTATATGGGACTTAATTAACCTCTTCCCTTCGTTATGCTCGGTTCTTGACCTCGGAATACTACACTCTATATATCCGTTCATTGCCGGATTCATCGTTCGGCGAACATCGTCCCTTACGTATATGATCGTCGCACGCGATCCGCTAATTTGTATTCCCGGAACGGTAACGCGATTTACGGCTACTTTCACCCCCGCGTCTTGCGAGACTCCACCCCTTTAATCGATCAACCACGGCTTGGGTTTAACCCACGGAAAACGGGTGGATTTAAGATTAAATTTGACCGGTGAATACGTAAAATAATTTATGCGATTATCGTCGATCGAAAAAAAAAAAAAATTCTCTCGGATAATTTACAACTTTCGTAGCCCCTGCAGTTCGATAAGATAAGATAAAAACTGGAAGAAAGATGATATATATATAGAGAGAGAGAAAAAAAAGACGGTCAAACTCGATTCCTCTGATTCAAGATTCGCGTTCGAAGGAAATGGGGGGTTCGATAAAACACGCCGTAATAATAAAAGACTCGAGAAAAATTATGTAAATAACGAGAGCAAAAACAATAAGATTGTCAATATATATATATATATATATATATTTACATGTTGCGTGAGCAAAGATTCACCTCGAGATCCATGGTGGTATGACGCGTGGGCGGCGTACCGTATTGGCCGTGTGGCGGCGGCAGATGATGGGGATGAAGGGGGTGTAGCTGCTGGGCCGCGTTGAACTGCTGATGATGTAGGGACGGTTGGTGATCGCCGCCGAGGGTGTGCCTCCTCGGCTCGTCCCTCGACCGGCCTCCCCCTGATCCGCTTCTGCCCCCCGAGCCGCCCCCGATGCTTCCGCTTCCGCCACCTCCGCCAACCCCCAGCACGCTTCCTCCTCCGCCCCCGCCCCCACCGACTCCGCTACCCACGCCGCCGCCACCGCCGCCTCTCCTCCCAGTTGGAACCTCGTTCGAGCCTGCCTCACCCTCCCCCCTGCCGGACCCACCTGAAACAAGTCGCGAAAATTCTTGTTCAGCTCTCCTTTCTTTCTTTTCTCAGCTCTCGTCTTTCCTTTCGAGAAAGGAAGGGGGAGAGAATTTGATTTATTAATCTTTTTGCTGCATGACAGACATTCGTTAATACGGTGTGTATAGTTATTCTTTTCGGTACAGCATAAAATATCGTTGTTGCATGCTTAAGGAGGGGAAAGGGGATAAGTGTGAGAGAGATATAGTGTACTATCGATACATAATTGAAATAAGTTAATGATTGATATCGATTTTATTCGGCACGCTCCCATTTTTAAGAATTAAGAGGCTTAGGTGAGTGTAAATATAGAAAAAGGAAAAGGATTCGGTAACAAAAACGATACTTTTTATTTATTCGTGTCAAGGAAAAAAACTCGAGGATCTTTTAATATTTTTCGTCGATAAATTAGAGAGTTTCCACGAGGATGATGATCTCATTATTGAAATAATTATTTTTGTTACATGTCCTTCAAGTGTCAATTAAGGATATCAAGCTGAAGGAAAACTTGACAAGGAATTTTAATGGTAGATTGTTGGACGACTGTATAGTCACCTTTGATATACACTGCACGTCCAACGATGAGCGATTATAGTCACCTATAATAACGATAGGGTTAAAATCGAATTAAGCGCGACGGGGAAAAGTGCTCCCCTTCCCCTTGGCACGACCTATTTGGCAGAAAGTCGTGGATAAACTCGGCCGAGAATAACGCGTTCGCGGAAGTGGGCGGAAATAGTTACGAAAGACACGTGCGAGCGATAGGCGCCATGAGGCACGCGCCACTTTATTCGTGTTCGTCGCTCCCTCGAGAAACGAGTATCGAGGGAGAGCCGAAATTCCGAACACGGGTTTAACACGTACCGAATGTATTCGCTATTTACCAAACCACGGTCAACTGTTCACATCTATCGCGAGAATAACAATATACACATTCTCCACGAACGAATGTAACGTGTGAATCCCTACCACCTTTCTCGCAACGTTCGTTATTGGCTGAACGAAACGAATGCTCTATCTCACTTCCTCTCCATTTAATATCTCCATTTAAACGAGAAACGTTACCTATTCTTATAATAGATATACACTATATTTAACCACACAACACTGAAACACTGTTATAAAAATTATTAAGATAAAATAATAAAATTGCAAAAGATAAGTCTACAATCTACGATTCGTTTACTTGTCAAACGCAACGCGAGCGACCTAGTCTGGTGCTGCCCTCTCCAACATTTCCTCGCTATGCGTACTAATTTTTGAACATAGGTCTGAATATAACCGCATTTACTAACTGACTCACTAGAGTTGTTTCTATCCTCTCTCACTTCTTTTCCACTGATTCGCCATCAAATGATGATCCAAATATATTTTCAAATTATTACAACACACAAAATTAAATGCACTATTATTTATACGCGAGTCATATCATGATAATCCGCGCGGCATCGAAGAGGTAACTGAGCGACGAATCTACGTTTAATCGGGACGACGACAGTGGTAGCTCGCAATGCGAATGTAGGTCGCAAACGCTTGTGTCCATCCGTTCGAGAGGGACGGTCGACGTCCAATTAACAACGAGCTCCGCGAATTCCAGGCAAACGTATCTCCATTGGTATCTCGGGTATTGCTGCTACCAGACTAATGGATGTCAACGCAGAGACTTTCGTTCGTAAAAATTAATTGGTAAATTTCCAAGATGATTGGCCGCGACTGAAACGGGCGACGAGATAAGAAGCGACGAGTCCTTTCGATGTCTTTCACTCGTCTATCGGTTATCTCGTCATCGATCGCTCACCGACGAGCAGCAGAACAACTTCACGTCGATCGCGAAATTGAAACGTCATTCGTCGATTTATCTTCTACTAGGGATGAGTCTACGCGCTGAAATCCATTACCGTGAAGACGGGCAGAATTTTATATAACCGACATCCGTATTGAAATCCGTTAAAAGCATCGAGAATCTTTCGAAGAAGAAAATATGATTCGATCGAAATTAACAATTTCGAGTATATCATTTTTAATATCTACACGCTGAACTTTTTAATTCCTTTTTGTTTCACTACTTTATTCGATTCATCATTCAACACACTCTTCTAATCCTGTACCAATTTCGATATACATAATAACGGAAAAAACGCGATATTATTCGATATTATTGAATCAAGCGATACGTGGCGAATTTCGCGAAAGTCCCCTTGTTAAAATTGATTTTTCTAAATAACCCCTGCCTTTCTCGCCCTTCTTCGAAATCACGGAACGGAAGCGTTGGTCATAAAAAAAAAAAGGAGAGAGAGAGAGAGAGAGAAAAGTATAGTACACGAGTCCAACATGCGACGAGGGAACAACTACGGATGATCTGAGCGATACGCGGGCGATATCCCCGTGCACCGACCGGTTCGATAAAACTCGAAGCTCCGTGCTCGACGATACAACCAGTACTGGCAACCACGACACCGCGAGATTCTCGAACGCGTTTATTTTCAGAATAGCGGTGTGTAGCACACATGCGAGCGAGAGAGAGAGACGGAGAAACGAGGGAACGAAACCGACGAATCAACGAAAGCTTGTCTTTCTCGTCCGCCTATATTCGCCCGAGAAATCTAATCTAACGTTCGGATATTCGATAATTCGTCATCGCAGATAAGATTCCGAACGGTCGGTCTCTGCAAATATGTACCTGCGTACAAATACAACGCTTGACAATTTCTTGGCAACGAGTCGATGCGTTTCTCGTATATCGATGAGTATCCTCTTAAATTGTTTTCCAATAATTTTCACTTTTTAGAAAAATCGCGAAGAAAAAAAAACACTTTTAGAAAAAACGTAAGATAGTAGGTAAGTAAACGAAAAAGGTAACTGAAGGTATTTATTTTAAATGATAAATTACAACAATTCTACAAATCTTTATGAAACGTTTTAGGATAGAATAATAGGAATATTCTCTAATCGAAAGTTCAAGTGACAGAGGCAACTCCTACGCGAAAAATGATGCATCGTAGTAATTATATAGCGGAAATTATAGTGAAGATATATATATATAAGGGAAAGATAATTCTCGAAATATAGGAAGATGATGTGTACGAGGAGTCCATCGATTGTAATCAGTTCCATGGAACACAATCGAATGCACTACACGTAGCCCGTGATCCTGCGCGATTAGAATTATATTATACGTGTTGCTTGTTGGCTTCGATCGATTTCGATTGCCATCACGAGACACGTTGTCCATTACGGGAGTAATTTTGATTTCTTGACCTATCCGGGTACAACTGTTGCATGTCTGTTGTGAGAATTTCGAAACGATTAAAGATTCCAATATTTTATACGATAAAACACGATATTTCAAATCTCTCTTCCTATATATATATATAGATATATATTATTGTTAAAAATGTTACTCTATGCCATTTTATAGAGAAAAACTATCCACCAATCTCCTACAGCGAACGAGATCGTAGCTGTTGTTCAAGGCAGGAAAAGCATCGGGCGAATAGTGGCCATACAAGAGCCGCGTATTAATCTGCCGACGAGAACGATCGGCGTCTATTAGGCGCGGAAAAGTTTTGACTCGGTTTTACACGCTGCAACTGTGCTCGTATATAACCCGCTCGTTCCAACGAAATCCGCCACTTTGTCGATACAATCCATCGGCGATTCGATCTTCGTCCAATTTATTTGATCCGTATATATCCACGCGTACTTCGTTTTCGATATTGAATTAGCACTTAACGCATCGGGCAAAATGAAATAGAACGAATTTTCCTCAAAATTGGCGCCGGTTTCGATTGAAAAATGAATTTTCAACGAGATGCACGCGAAATAACACGTCGAAAATTCGTTAAAGCGTTTAAAATCGTCTTTGACAACGAGAAAGATAAACCGATCGGTTACACGATATATAAAGCGTATTAGATATTCGAGCAAATTCGACAATAATTTCTCGGCGAACTCCGCAGGCCGTTTATCGATTATCGTCGGCCAAAAATACGCGTTCCAAAGTGCGCTCCTTCTGTGCCTTCTCTTCATCTTCCATGCCCCCCTTCCTTCTCTCTTTCCCTCGCCCAGTGGCGATTCAAATTTCACAGAGCCGAGAATCGAAAAAAGCTTTCGAAAATTACGCGAAAAAATATCCGGCCAATGGATATCGGATTACGTGGAAACGCAAAGGACTGCCAACCTTGAGGTTTACGATGCGTTCGGACGAAAGGTCAGCGAACCGACGAGCGAGTCGGCCACAACGCGCGTTAATTAACCGTAATTGTTCGAGGTTGTTACGGAGAATGGAACTGTTGGAAAGGCGATCAGGTTTTAAACGAAAGCTTTCTCCAACGTTTTTTCTTTTTTTTGGCAATTTTTCGATCGAAAATCGTCGCGAGTAATTCGTTGTTTTGTTCGAGATCGGACAATCGCGAAACTATTACTCTTTCCCGCGAACAATGGCCGAGAATTTAACGAGAAGCAAAGAAATGGAGAGAAAGAATCGAGTCGGTATTGAAGACAGATGGAGAGCGATGACGAAAAGGGTATAAGATGGAGAGAGATAGAGCGAGGAAGAAGAGAGAAGAGGTGGTAGGGAAAAAAGGGGTCTGGGTTATAGGACGGTGCATTCAATGTTCCCTTAATTTCACCCTCTTTCGAGGCGAGTACTAGCTGCAAACGCGAGTAGAAAGCAGCGTGGTGCGCATACGCCTGCCGTATCGAGGCGAGAGCGTGTGTGCGTGGCCGCCTCTGAATCGAGCATGTGCCGAGAGAAAAAAAAATCTATATCGCCTTTGAAGCCGAAGAATGCCTTTCGGAGAGAGAGGAAACATCCGTGGCACGTGCACGTGCGTGCGTGCGTGCGCGATTACGTGCGTGAGGACGTGCTTTTACGTTATTTAGCGCCGCTCTCCATCGTCCACGTGTCGCATGCCCCGTTCAGCGTCGAGTTACGCGAAAATCAGGATCTTCCTTGAAAGAGAAGCGACTCCTCTAACCCTTCTATATATATATTCGAGATCATCGATCGGGCTTGAACGAGGAATTTTCGTAGCGTAGGGGAAAAATATCGAAACGGCCCGTTTGCAGATTACCTTTCTTTTGCACAATTTATCGTAATATTAATCGCGAGATGATTTACTTACCACTTGTTATTCCTCTTTTTTTTTTTCTTTTTCCCCCTTTCTCGAGACAACTTACGGATGAAACGGACTCCTAACCTTAGTTCGAAGCCACGAGCAGCGTCAACGGAATTCCCGCTTACATTTCATTTCGTAGGTCAAACACCCGCGACAAACGATATAATAGTTCGACGACCAGAAGTCAAAACCGAAAAGAAAATAAATTCATGGAACACTTCGCGCGATCGTCACACTATACTTAACCGAGACGCGTGCACTATTGCCGGCAGCCGGCTGCCAGAAGGAAAACCAAATCGAAAGGAAGCATCGCTAAAATCCTCGTTGCTGCCGCCACCGCCACCTCCGTCGCCGTTGCTGCCGCCACCGCCGCTTTTATAATCAATATTAGTTGACGGAGGATCCGCCGAGCGTCGCCGTTCGACGCCGCGAGAAAGACAAAGAACCGAACCGGTGATAGTTCATTGAAGCGAGACGGCACACGACATGCACACGTTGCCACACCGAGCAATTAGACAACGAAGTTTTTTCAATTCTCAGGATTACGATTGCAAGATACAAAGCGATGCGAAAAAGCGAGCCGCGTACGTTTCATCGAGAATCATTATCACTTACTTCTTTTATTAGGAGTTTTCGCTAGGGGGATTAGACGGGAACGCACCTCCAGAGTGATCTCCTTCGATCTGCATCCCAACAACGTCCCTCCTTCGTATCGAGAACACTAGAAAGCGTCCTTCGAAATCGCGTCATCGTTTCGCGCGAGAATAATACTCGACGTCCAGATGCATGGTAGCGCGAGGAAACGAACCGCGGGACTAACTCTGGCGTCCTCGATCGAATGGAAGGACGATGACCGGCGACACGCGATTCAACGAATTTAAGGAAATTGAAAGGATTGGAGAAACGAAAGGAAACTCGAAATATTTATCACAAAACGCGTGTTTTGTCACAGAGAAACTGGCAACAGGGTGTGGCGAGAAAACGTTTTAAAAGATTGGCACGCGATTCGCTTCGACCGGCGTCCACCGGCGGCGAGGGCGCCCACGACGACGCGACCACCGCGACGCCGTTGACGTTTCGCGACTAGATGCGACGCGAGCGACGTATCGCGCCATCTCGTCGACGGCGACTGGCGCGCCTCTACTATGCACTGTATCGTCGAGACACCGACTGAGAAACATCCAATGTTATCAATCGAGATCGCGAACTTTTTCTTTTCGTTTTCAATCCATTTATTTATTAATATTATCGATTTTATGTTATATTTATAGAATATATCCTTTTTATATAACGCAAACTATGCAAATGTCATGTACATGCATGAGGGCATCTAACAATTTCTATCACGGGTCGGTAAGTATATACAAAGCATGAGGTAAATGAGTGAAAACAGAGATCCGGGAAATTATTATTATTCGTTCATTCTACTAAAGAGGAAGGAAATTCGAATCGAATAGTTTGTAGAAACTTTCGTCAAAGTTTCAAGTTTTCGAAAGGAGATGTGGGAAGACAGTAAACGAGTTTGCCGACGTGAACGGAAATGTCGTTTTAATTCGTTTCCTCGGAACCAGCATCTTTCCTATCACACACTAATATCTTTTCCATGAAACTTCTGGTCGAACACGTAATAGAATGAAATATATATATGACGAATAGCACGGGTGAATATTTACAGGAAATAAAACGAAAATGAGGCTAATTTCACGACGAATGCGATCGTATCTCGTACCTATTGAAATCCTCTTTTCAGAATTAAGGGCGTTCGATTCGATTAGTCGTCCTATCGTTCGAATCACGCATCTAACGTATCGCGAGCCTGACATCGAGAATCATTCATTAGAAAAAAATCTGAATTACGATCTATAAGTTTCATAAAAGAAATTATAATAATAACAAGAATAATGTAACAGTGCTCGCTCGAATATCAAATTACATCGTTCAAATTACATGTATACAATAACTCCCCCTACTGCCACGAATATACTTCCAAACTTAGTAGCAAAGAAAAATATAATCTTGTGAGTTGCCAGGAATAAAATTGCTACTTGTATCGCGAGGATTACTATAATTATTGCGATAATTGATGTTATTTTGTCCTTGATAAATTTTCAATTATACCAATAATATAATAATAACAGTAATACTCTTTATTTAGACTTCATATACCATTAATTTCATAAAAAAGAAAAAAATTAAAAAACCCCAATTAAAAATCAAATCTTGGCAAAAAATTCCAAATCCACTCCAGTCTTAAATCCGTCTTAATTTCTTAAAGTCACGCACGCACACCGAAAATTCGTTTAAAAATCACGGTTTAGGGTAAATGCAGGATTTGCGAGTGGCGCGTAAGAGAGCACGTTCTTCGTTCCAGCCACGAAAAACGTTGGAGGAGAGGCAGGCAGGCAGCGGTGTACAAGCAACGGTGATGAAAAAGGAGGGAAAGAGAGGCATAGCCCGAGGCGAAGTTAACGAGAAGGAAGGAAGGGCGGTCGACGTATCGCTTTCACGCGTCACGAGAAGCAGCCGGAAGGGGGGGAGGTGGCCGGTACTGAAACTCGAACCGAGGAAACCCGACAGACGCTTCGCCGATTCCAGGGGTTAAGTTAAGCTTGTAACGCGTGCCTACTTAAACACCAACCCGGCAAAACCAGCGGAGAGAGACAGATTTAAGGCACTCATCGCCAAAAATCTATATTTCGTTAATATCTATACGTTCCACCGTCCTCATCGTTAAATCAATTAACACGTTCGTCGGCCACCGTGATTTCCTTGAGTTCCAAATGTTGCTGTCGTAAGAACAGAGCGATAAACGGAAATAGTTTTAATGTTTTTATTTTATATATTTTAATATAAAATTTGATGAGTTAGTTGTTTTCAGTGCCTCTACTTCTACTTCTTCGCTCCCTATTTCGTTCGTTTCCAATTTTATTTTGATGAATATAAGCCTTTATTAATTGGCAACTTAAACTCAGTTCTATATTATCGATGGCAACATAACAGTCTCCTATATTACCATGTATAATTTTAGATTTAAAATTGTATAAAAATGTAGAATGACGCTCGCTAACGAATCATACTTGTCCCTCTTTTCTGTTTTCTATTATTTTTAAATTTTAAATTCTGTGTCTTTAAAAAGTATATTTTATTTATATTTCACTGCTTATTCCATTAAATTTTTTTTAAAATTCCGCTTTAACTCTTTGCATTCATACGTCGCCATATAATCACTATCCTATATTTTATTATTATACATATATTTACATTAATAAATATATGTATAAATATATATATATATATTTACATTAGTACAAAAATAATGTATAATATAATTATATATAATATAATATAACATTCTAGAGGGCTCTTGATTACTTGACTTAACTTTCTTAAATATAAATACAAATATAAATGCTTAAAAACCTTTTTTTTTTTTTTTGAAGAAGAAGAAGAAGAAGAAAGGGTCACCCATATACGTGGCGACGAACGTGTTAAAGACACGTTTTTTCTTTCTCGTACTTGTTCTTCGCCTTATCTTCTCCGTCGATAGAAATAAAACGATGGATAAAATTTTCTGCTCCTGTATATACAACTGTACAAGCCGAGCAAGTTTATAACGAGTAAATACGAGAAAGGATCGAAGATACGAGAATGGAAGAAGAATCTCCTCGACCGAGTTCTCTTCAAACGAAAGTTTTCTCGTTGTCTCGTTCGAAAAGAAAGGGAGGGAGGGGGGGAGGAGGAGGAGGAGAAAAGGAAAGAGAGAACTGACTCACCGATGTCGTTGGACTGTCGACCCTTGCCATCCGAATTCCACTCTTCCTCTGCAACAAGAAAAGGAGATACGGGTCCATTAGCATCGAAGAGCTACGCAACGAGGCAAGAGAATTTGGCCGACGATTAGCGCCACGAAACGCACAAGCCTATCCCGGAAAGTTTACCGCATCCCCCGCGATGCAAATTGAATTCGAAATTAATTGGCGCGATAAACTTCCCCCTCCAACCATACTTCGGAAATAGCAGCAGAGAAGATTTGGAAACTTGGGAAAAGCGCCGGTTTCGAGAGGAGCTTAGAAACGTTGACGAGGCTATCCAAAGAGATCTCTCGACTTCTTCCTTAATCCCATCGTGGGATAAAACGATTATCTCTCCTCCCCGCTCTTCGATCGCGCGCGGATAATTGCGAGGCGAGTCGTCGTTCCCTCGAAAATTATTCGGTGCTCGACGATGGCTGCCTAGTTAAAAACCTCGAAACTCGAGAGAGAGCAAGAAAGCAAGAGGAGAGCTGCGCCAGAGGTGAGCATAAGGATGAGCGTATATGTGTGCCAGTCGCACGACCTAGGTATATGCATATTTCAGGAGCATACATGTCGGTTGTGCAGGTCTGCTGTTCGCCGCGTAAATTTATAAGGATCCGGCTACTTTCACATTCTTAGCCACGCGGGAGGTATGAATTTAAATTTACACCCCAGTTCGACCCATTTTCGGGCGTTAATCCGCGAAACGAATACTCCATGCTTGGCCGTGGGGAACGTATTCGCGATAGCGGGTGGAGATAACGATTTAATAAAATCGAACGGTATATAGAAACGCGGATGCATTTCCATGACAAACATTCCGCGCGAAAACGCTCTCCGATAAACTCTCGCTCCCTCTCAAAGTCCTGGGAAAAATCTAAAAGTCAAAAGGTCCGTGTATATTTACAAAACGAAAGAGCAAAAGGGCGGAAAAAAGGGGATTGGAGAAGGATAGCTCGAGGCTGCGCCGAGCGCGCTTAGCTTTTTCCCTGTTCTCCTCCCCCCCTCCCCCCTCTTCTCCTTTCAACCCTTGCCCTACACATTTCACGCTTCTCGTAACCTCGTTTACGATACGGACACGTCGTCTCGCGTAAACGATCCTCTTTCGTACGCGACGTGTGGTACACGAACGATAGAAAAAGTCTCGTTATCAACGGAATCGTAGCCTGTAGGAGAATAGATATATATATATATATATATATATACGCGTATACACGACCCTTGTTTCGAAAGAAAGCCGAGTTGGTAGTCTCGAAGAGCGAGAGATTAAAAGTTTGTCCCGGGACGGGTGAAAAGCGAGAGAAAGTTCTCTGGATAAACGCACGTTTTTCTTTCCGGGAAATATCCGAGTTGCTACAGAGAAAAGAAGAACGGGAAGAGTCGGAGATTAAGCGGTCGCGAGAAAAACGCGAGAAGATTCCGCGAATCGTTTTTTTTTTCCCCATCGAAGAAAAGTAAAAATTGTCGTCTTACGAAAGATAAAGATTCCGAATAGAAATAAATAAACAAGCTTTTTGCTTTACGTCGACCGTATAATCCCGTAATACGCGTGAAAATCGAATAAAGTCCGATAACGTTGTTTCTTGATTTCCGTTGTACGAAGGATAAAGCCTCTAAAAGGTAAGAAGAAAGATAAACGAGTGTTTTCTTTTGTGTTGACTGATGGCGTAATCTTGTAACGCGTGCGAATTTCGTGCACGGTCGATAATGTTGTTTCCTGATTTTTTTCTCTTTCCTCGATGTGTCTCCTTTTCTCTTATGAAATTAGATTTTATAGAACATTGTGCGCTCACCGGTGAAAAATGCGCGAAGAAAAGAGAGATGGATAAAGTTAAAAGAAAAAAAAATAATAGTTAAAGTTGTAGCGGTAAACCACAAGATCCTTAGAAAGCCGGTAAGGTTACCTGAAGTTTCAGAATCTGATCCTGGCGTGGGGCTAGCGTCCACACTGTGCCTAGATCCCTGGCAACACTCACTGCACTTGCTGCACATTTTGTTCTCGTTTGTGCTCGACACCTGACAAGTCGATCTTGATCACTTTTTCTCACTATCGACGACTTGTCACCATACACCACTAGGCCGCTCTGCCACGCAGTTCGAAACGATCGGTTATCGACGCACGCGTCTCATTGTTCAATGAACAACAACCTGTCCGAGCAGCGGCCGGGAACTTCGACGATCGATCGACACCATCGTAGCCACTCGATTTCCTCGACCACCATCATCACCACCACAAACATGAACGCAATCCTTGAAACTCGGTCAAGCTGATGGAAAACGATTTTTATTTCATCCTGCGGATTCGGCCACTTTGGCTCACCTCTGCCCTCTGCCGGTCATTCGACCAACTAAAATCGACTATCGACTATCGCGCGCAAATTCAAAGTGGAAAGAATTATTATATCTTTTATTCTTTAGGAAATGAAGTCGAATACTTCGTATACTTTTTTTTTTTTGAATTTCAACGTGATGAATCTACTATAATATCATACGCAGTAGCGTATAATGCAATCTTGAATCCGAACTCGAATAATTTCGAAAGAAGCGTTCTCGAAGTAAATTGATCGAACGAGTCATAACGTCATTATCGAGAATTATCGAGAAGAGGCCTTAAAAATCCATCGATGCGTAAAATTAATTGTCTCTACGTTTCCATACTCGAGCCTCGAGATGTACACTCGAGAAACAACTTAGGAAAGCAAAAAGGCTACAAACGAATCTACCTTCGAACAATTGTCTCGCGTGTGTCAGGGACGAGCAAAAAGGCTAAAACCCGAGAGAGATTCCGTTTCGATATCGAGAAACGAATTTTCTCAGACGATCACGATCGCATTAAAAACGCTTTGAACAGTCGTGATCGGGTCGAGGTTGTCGTTTCGCTAAGAAAATACGGCAATTAAATCGAAATAGAACTGGCGAGTGGGGGAAGGCGGGAGAGGGGAGGGAAGGGGAGGGTATATTGTGGCAGGTCGGTAAGGAAGTAAGGAAAGGTGGGTGACAGGAGATGAAAGTAATAAAGCGGTCCGCGCAGGAAGAGAATGGCAGTTAATCGCAGCGGGGAGGGGAGGGGGGAAGGGGGAAGAGGAATAAACGAAATTCAGATATATCGGGGTCGAGCCCGCCGAATCGAGGATGGAACGTTGTTACAGACGGTAATACGATCCCGCGCGTTTCTGAACGACGTGAAATTAACTGGTAACCCGATTCGGTGGAGGAACAACGACGAATCACCTCGTCGCGCTCTCATGGAAATCGATCGTCGAACGCGCAACGATGGCAATTCGCAATTACGCGAGAGGCATTTTGCGGGGGCAGCCCATACCCACCGAGAAACTAATGGGGTTGGGCGGTCATGGGTGGTGGGGTGGGGTGGGGTGGCGATGACGCGCGCGTTTCCGCCACCTCAAATTCGATGTAATTCGGGTTCCTGGAATTCGTGCAGCTACGCGCCAACGCCGACTGGATTTCCATAAACGAGCCGACCGAAATTCGTCTTGGAACTGGGTTAAGCGCGTGTCCATTGTAACCGTTCAACCGAACCCCCGCCGTTCGTTGCCCTTTAATCACGATCTCATCATCGAGCCGTTTATTACGATTACGTTAATCGATCGATCCGAGGTCTATCTTCAAATTCGTGAATGAATTGAAATCGGCAAATTCGAGGCTAGAAAAAAAAATTATTGTCGTATATCGATGTATCGTGTCTTTCTCGAGAATAAAGTGTGACGGAGAGAGAGAGAGAGAGAGAGATACGTATAGTAAGATGAGCACGGTAAGGAGAGAAGGAGAGAAAAATTTTCTCGTGGTAATTTTAAATGAAATCGTACAATGAAGCGCGATCACGTGATTCTTAAGTGGCGATTAAGCTCGAGTTTGCAACAGAGGGGAAAGAACGAGCGACGAGTCTACTCGAGTCAGCGACTTTCTTTCCGCGTTCGACTCGGTTAAGAGGGCCAGGGAGGGGGTAGAGGAAAAACTAGCCGAATTCCTCGACGATTCGTAACGCGCGCGGCGCTCGATCGGCCATTTTCGAAGGGCGCGGCGTATACATACGTGTCGTACGGTTTCATCGGAGTTGGCCGATTACCATAAACGCCCGTAATAACGTTAATTACGAAGTAATAACAGGATTGTTGAAAACGTTTGAAACGAAAGGGAATAATCGATCGACCTTCCATAATCTCGTTCGAGCGTATTTAACTTAAAAGGATAATACTGTAAAGGCAAACTAACTAACTCTATTGTTTGGAAATTTTGTTATCCATTTTTCACTTTATCGAAACAACTCGAAAGATACGATAACCGTTCCAATTATTTTTTATTTACGAATTTGAACGATAATAAATTGAGACTCGTGGTAGCAAAGTAACCAACCAACCGAATTATTCAACGTATTATTCGGTGATTGCGTTACAAGCTAGATTTCGAAAGGAGAGGCATAATATCCGATTACCGTTCGGTGAAGGCAAGGAGAGAATCAACCAATCGAAAGCAGGATGTTATCAATCCGTGGTGTTCTTACACCTTGCGGCTTGAGTGCGGCCATGCGGCGTGCGTGTGTTTGCGCTTGTGTTTGTGCATGCGTGCATGCTAGCCTTAAAATACGATCGATGACGTGACGCAACGTGTAAATCTAGAAACACCACTTTCGTAAAGATTCGTTGGAGCGCAAGTAAGGGGAGAGACTTCCTTCCTCTCTTCCTTCCGGTCCCCTATTGAACACCGGCTGTTGTGCACTTGTAACATCGCTGAATGATACCAGTTGCAAAATTGCAAATGTTCAGTCGAATGCATATATCAATTGTCTCAGAAATAATTGATACGTGTAACAATTTCCTTCTCTAGTAAGATTCTTTTTTTTTTTTTTTGGATCCAATATTGATCTGTATTTATTTTTACCCTGTTACGCGCAATTTTATAAATAGTAAGATACATATTAAAAATAATTAAAAATATCTCGTGAAATCGTTTCGTTTCCACATCGTTTCAACGTCTAATAATAAGTATTGAAGTAAACGAAGTCGATT